AGTAAATAAATTGCCTTTTTTTAAACTTTTCAGTAAAAGCAAATGGTATTCAATTCATTTTTGCCGCAAAGTTGGCAAAGTTATTTAAAAATTCTTTGAATTTGACGCCAACACGGGTTTTGAAATATGCGAAGTTATTCTGAATCCTGTTCAACACTTTAAGTTTTACTGTCTTCAAATTATAAGAACCATTTTTGTGTTAATCTGAGCTGCTCTGCATTGCAGAGCAGCTCAAGTTGGAAGGTCACTCCCTGTGACCTGGAATTAATTATTTTATTCAACCATAGGAAGATTCTATAATATTTTGATAACATAGTTAGGCGTTTGTTTTAAAAACGTACCGCTTCCCTGACCACAAGAAGCTAAAAATGAAATTAAGAAAAACAAAAAATTAGCTACAAAAATTCACTTGCAAATCTCGGTGTATAAAGACAGTAATCTTTGATTGCACGTTACGTTTCCTCTCGGGAGAGCGTTGGTGCCATTTAAACAACAGATTTCTTATAAGCATCCATTGTTAACGGCCCCACAACGGGACGCCATGCTTTTGTTTTTTAACTTTCGTGTTGCTTGCAACCCATCAATATTGATTTCGTATTTTGGACTTACTCTCTTAACGAGTTCTTTCCCTGGTTTTATGTACTTTACTGTAAAAAAAAGCCAGTATTAATTTATCGTAAAATTTATCTAACTTTTAAAGAAATGCAAATTAAATTTAGTATTGAATAGAATCTATATGATAGTTTTAATAAAATACGGTAACTTTTAACTTTTAACTTACTATCGGGATGTTCGTCGGGTTTGACTTTTCCAACAGACACATGAATGAGGTAGTGAATAAACTTGAAAAAGATCGAAAGATCTTGATCCGAGTCTTCATCGTTCAAATTCAGGTTAGCTTCGGGTTGATATTGGACATCTTCGACATCCTTCTGGTTAACTAAAAATAAATAAATAATATCAAAATAATATCCTAAAATAAAGAAACGAAATTTTAAACACCTTAGGTCTGACACTGGTCCGAATTTTCTGTGCAATTTGTCTACAAAAATAAGCAAATTTTAAAATAAATCTGCAACATTAAGTTTGTTGTAGAAAGGAGTGTCATTATTCAGTTTTTGCTTTGCTAAATTTATTCAAATAAAAAATTTCGTGTGAATTTTTTTAAAAAAGCTTTCTTACTCAGAGTCTGAATGAGTTCATCATCATCACCGTCAAACGAAGGTTTAGCAACGACCAGTCCAACCAAAAGCAATAAAAAAAGTATTTTTTCCATCTYGGAAAGTAAAGTCTCAAAGCACTTTTTGTGAGTGACCCTTCCTTGCAGCTCTATCCAAGCGAAAGTGTTTGTGTCTGTGAATGCATTCTTATTTATTAACGCCCTGGATTGACATATACAAGTGCATTATATTTTTGAACGCTTTAAAATCTTAAAATAATATTTAATGGTTCGTAAAACAGCTTTTTATATTTATTTATGCCTCAGTGGCCGAGCGGCTGAGAACGAGAGGTCAATGCATGGTTCGCAGTCCCGCGAGAACCCAACTGAGGCAGATTTTTTAATCTGCTTATACACTCGATGTAGCATACACTTAATATATAAAGTTTTTTAGATGTTTTCAAACACTTTGCTAAACTTTTGTACTCCAAAATTAGAATAAATTATTAAAAGCAATTTCAAAAATTTAAACTCTCATTAACAAAGAATATGAATTAAAAGACACAATTTATCATGACAAACTTTTACTGCAACAGAAATGCTACCTTATATGTCGTGCCGTTTATAGTTTATGGAAATATAATTCAGTGATTAAGTATATTTGTGTTATACATGGTTAATTCGGAAATTTATGGCTTTTAAATTGTTTTGCATGGTTTGATAAGTGCTAAAGTGATTTTACTTGACGCTTGAAAGATCGATTGTATAATTAGTGACTACTAGTTATATTGCAAAGTGTTCAAACTTTCCAACTTTGCTTTATCAAAACTCTGTTTAAAATTGATTTCAAAATTGAGTAATTTCTGCAAGTCAATATTTCTACTTTCCCAATTGCAAAGTCCCTATACATTTGGTCCATGATAAGACCTTTCTAAAAAAAATTAAAGCCGAAAAATGAGAGACAAAATATGTTGTAAATTTTGTTCCAAACTACCACTCCCTTTATAAGCCTTTAAGAAATCGTGTAACTATCTAAAAACATCACAGCTACGATTTGAATTTGTGTTTATTGATGTAAAAACAACTTTTGTACAAAAGTAGCTACTGTCATTCCTAACAGGCCTGGTTCTCGCTCAGCAAGACAGCCTTGGCTATTATGAATCTAATCAGGTGCTACTTTACAATTTGTCAAAAAGCTAGATCTAAAATATCTGTAAAATTTACTGAATCTTCTTGAAGCATAAAGAAATAAAATCAGTTATTATTCTACGAGTAAAATAATAATAGATTATCCGTTCCGGTCATTATCTGTGTTGTGCCGTGCCTTTCCGCTTTCCTGGAAGGAAGAGAAGAAAGAAAAATGTAAGTGGAACGAAGTCAAAAAAAACTGAATCTGGGTCAAGTTGTGACTCCAGTTTTTTCAGTTCCTGCCTCAACCTCAGAATGGTTAATAAATGCTTTATACTCTCTCTTTCTTATACTCATCAATTATTCATGAGCTCATCGCCCAACCAGGTTTTCTTATTTGTACCACGTGCAGTAGTTTGAAACCTCCATTAAATACGACCGCACCCATTTCAAAGTTCTAGTACTTTGAAATATTTCAAAGTCCTACTACTCCGACAACATAACTAAAAGAGTATAAGATGTCGTGTCAAATACTCGTCACTGTTAGTGTAATCTATTGGGGTTTCAAAATCCTCGTGGAAATTTCGAAACCTCAATAGAATACAGCAACTCGTATAACTTGTATTTGAAACATTACTTCTTGCAGCATTTACAAAACTCACCTTCAAAATTAACGATTTGGAAATCAATCGTCTTTTTCTTCTTTTTCTTCGTCTTTGCCCTTTCCTCCGTGTCCCTTTTCTGGTTCTGGTCCACCAGCACGGCACTGCTTTTGGCTATACATATGGTGAAGGGTGATTCCAACTTTAGTTTGTCTACGGATCATTGATAGAACTCCAGCGCCAGCTCTCTGAACAGCACCTTGGTGGTTGTGTTCTTTCAGAGCCAATCGAACGATGTCGGAAATCATATCTGTTTTGAAAAGAATATTTCAAAGAAAGTTTCAATTCTCTACACAAGAACCAACCGAGTTTAATCTTTTTTTTAATCTTTATAAAAAAAACTTCGTTATATGACTACAAATAGAGTTTGTTTGGTTTAAGTATTGTTCTTTGACATGCTGTGCAATGAAGGGTTTTTCCCAAGGTTCCACTCTGGTTTTTCCTCCCTCCGTAAAAATCAGTGAGTTGAGAGTTGTATGTATAGAATATTTTAGTGTAGTGATAGTGTGTGCAAGTGAGTAAGAGTGGGCCAAATTGGAAACCTGAGGTGCTTACTATTTACCCAGAAAAACCGGTTGGAAAATAAATGGTATGTGTCATTCGGATCGGAAAGTTAACGAAAAACTCGGTTTCCCGATGCTGAGGTAATCCACTTTTCCCGCTCTTTTCGGTTCTTCGGTAGACGTGTGTACCAATTTCCGAAGTAAAAWTTTCCCGCTCTTTTCTTACCATTAGCGAATAAGTTTCCAACCGGATGAATTGGTTTATAAGCACCTCAGTATACTTGAATTTGCCTACCTCTTTATACATATTATATTGCAGTTATTTGATATAGTTTATTTTCTCTTACCAATATACACTTTCATGCTGATTTTGGTGACTTTCTCCATTTGTTTAAAAGTCTTAGCAAGCTAGAAAAACGAGGAGGAAAAGAAATAAATATCATATTATCAACCATATAAGAATACTTGCATGCCGCAACAAAACAACACTGACAATCAACAATAAAAACTATTAAAACTCACCACAATAGCAGTCTCAACGCCGAGTGCTACAAAAGGTCCTGCAGAAGAAGAAATACAAAACATTGAGTTAAAATATCACTATTATAAAAATGAAAAATAGTCGCGCCAGAGATTCGTCGCCCGCCATTAATGCTATGGTAATATGACTTACTATCAGGAAGCCCATCACTGACACGGAACTGGTTGAAGTTCTTCAAGATGAATTCTGCAACCTCTTTGCCCTTTTCGCCGCCGTCTTCAACTGCTTTCTGGAGCTCTCTTCTTACTTCTTTCATGTCCTTGTCATCCTTATCATCGTCAATCTTCTCGAAAAGACCTGCACGTATCAACAAAGTTTCTTTGAGATTTGTTTATCATGGACATTTAAGGAGAGGGGACCGAATTTCATAGCCCACCCTTCCACCCCTAGACCTGATCATGATCTCTCCTAGCCCCTTGCGCAGCCGCTATGAGGCGCTTCCCGTCATTTCAACGGAAGTGCCTTACAGCGGCTGAGCAGGAGGCTAGACCTCCCCATGCACCCTTCCACCAAAGATGAGAGAAACTAGTCCACTCAGACTGCACGATTTTCTAAAGGAGTATTAGGAGTCTTTGCAATTTTGCCCTAATCTAAAAACCCCTAGAAAAATGTGAATTTAGAGTCGCCATCTCGATTTCAAAATCATCTTTAGGTTTGGGGTGAATAATTGTCCAATAGGCTGAGAGTAGCGAACCAATGAATACACGCCGTCTTTGTAGGTACGTTCCCGCGTTGGTATGAACTATTACATAAGAAATACTATACAGAGAACGTAGTTCTTACCACTTTGTTCAGCATGTATAAAGAAAGACAAGAATCTTCGGTTAAGAGCGATGAAGTATTCTCCAACGACGTGCTTGGCTTGGAAGATGTTGTCCATATCAACGGCTTCCTTGACTCTTCTCATCATTTCTACAAACAAATGCGTCACGTAGAAAAGCATGGGTTTTCAGAAATCACAAGTTATTCTCATTGAAATTTCACTGGATTTTGAAATTTCAATTATATAAAGTATCAAATCCAAAGCAAAAATTTGGTTTAACATTTGCTTTTTTACTTGTCATACTCGCTCACTTTGACTTCATATACACACCAAATTGAAAAATTGTTGTCGGGTTAAACTATATTTCTTTGTTGCTTTTATTAATTTGTCTCTTTTTGGTTCCTAAATAGGACGGGTTTTTTTGTAGACACAGTTATTTGATAATGACTGACCAGTGGTTGACTTACCTTTATGGTCTTCAATCATAAGCTTGGCTATTTCATGAACTGGTTTCAGAGTTTCAATGACCTGAAGACGAACAAAAAGTAAAATCAGTTGCAATTCTTTGCATCCAAACGAACGGAAAAAATGAAAAAAAAAATTTTGTGGAAATTCCTGGCATAAAAGTAATTATAACTTACCGCTGCTCTGACACCAAGAAGCTTAAAAAAAAAGAAAGAAAAGTAATTATAAGAGTCAAGCTATCTATTAATATTTATAGTTGGTAATCTTTTTAGATACTTTCTTGACTAATTCCTCTCCAGGTTTTCTGTATTTCACTAAATAAATATCCAATTAACAAATGAGAAAACTTAAGAATATAAAAGTATTATGGTGTTTGGTAAATCAATCAGATTCAACTTACGATCAGGATGTTCGTCAGGTTTGACGTCTCCAACAGAAACGTGAAAAAGAAAGTAAGCGAACTTGTGAAACAATGGAATATCTTTCTCGTCAGGCTTAGGTCCCCCGGATGGCCGCTCGGATGGAGCAGGTCCCCCTGATGGTCGCTCGGATGGATCAGGTTTCTCGGATGGTGGCTCGGATGGAGCAGGTTTCTTGGATGGTAGCTCGGATGGAACTGCTTTTGTGAATGACGGGAGACTAGTTGGATCTTCATCTACGTTTACTGCATAAAATTTTTAAAATATTCCGATTATATAATAAAAATCTTCAAAAATACAAAAATCCGTAGAAAAGAAAATGAAATGCCATAAATAGGCAAGAGCAAGAGCAAGAGCAAGAGCAAGAGCAAGAGCAAGAGCAAGAGCAAGANAAGAGCAAGAGCAAGAGCAAGAGCAAGAGCAAGAGCAAGAGCAAGAGCAAGAGCGAAGAGGCGAAGAAGGACAACAGGCGGACAAGAAGAAAAAAGTAGTTGAAGGAAAGTTCCTCTAGGAATATGAAAAACTTGATTTTACTTACATAAATCTTGAATAAATTCATCGTCGAGTGTTTCAAAAGCAGGTTTGGCCACAGCAAAATCGACCAACAAGAGAACAAGAATGACCTTCATCTTGGAATAAAATGATCTTCCCTCTCAAGTAACTTATACCAACTTCGTTCGTAGCAAAGTTGAAATGATTTTCGCTCCGAATGCTACTCTTATTTACGGTCGATGAACATTAGAAATAGTTCTTTTACAATGGTTACGTAAGGTAGAATTGAGTACAATAGGTTCTTTTAAATCCTTTGTAATTTATTAAAAATAAAGAAATTTTTGACTTTTTAAAAGTTTTTAGACTTTTTTGGGGCAAGAAATATAACAAACGCCTGACTAACTAATTGTTTTCTTTAACTTTTGGTTATGTCATCCATTAATTTTATAGAATGATAGAACAATAAACTGTGATGTAACCAGCCTTTCCGCCTACACGACGCTTCATGCATTAACACATTACTAATTTCATGAAATTACTTAAAATGTATTTAATAATTCGAAGAAAAATGGTGACCGCATTTGAATGGTAAGATCAAATTAAGTCTGAATGATTTTACTTTTACAACAGTAAAGTAGACAACTAAGGCTCCGTTCATAATGTATGGCAGAGAGGGGGGGCGCAGGTGAAATTGAGGGGGGATCGGGAAAATTTGGAGGGGGGATCGGGAAAATTTTGGTAGGAAAAAGGGGGGGGGGGGTGGGCAAATTATTTACGCATGAACGTAGGAACGCAGCTAAAGTGAACAATGGACTTAGTAAACTGCATGATCGGTTATGCTTGAAATTTTTTCAATCTACTGGAATCAGTAATAAATGCGAATATCTAAAAAGAGCCTTCAATAAAACTATTACCGCGTAAATATAAATATATAATTTGAACCTAAATCACTGTTCAAAGAAAACCGTTTCCCACGCACAGATGTTGCACAGTTGGAAATCAATGAAATTTGTTTTGCATTCTTAACTTCTTTAATATTTTTTGATTATTTGAGGACTCTTAAAAAGGCTTTACCCAGCTATTTCTATCATTTTTAGATCTACCAGAAGCCCAAATAACCGAATATTCCTTATAGTTCTTGATTTGGCAAAGTCTTGAGTCAGAAGTTTGGAAAGTTTGGTTTGGCCGAAACTTTCCCACGGCCCAAGAAATACTTCATACTAAGATCTAAAGATATTACAAAAGCAGATATTTACTGATTTGATTAAAAATGCTAAATTAGATCAAAGTACAATAAGAATAAAAACATGTTATTCAAAAGAAAATTCGTTGAAATGAACTTGTTATCAGCCTTCGAAAACAAAAATCTAAAACTTTAATTTCGTTCATACTTATTGGGAATTTTGCAAATAAACATTATCAAGTTTAATTGAAATATCTGTTATATATTTTTTACCAAAAAAATGTTTAGAAAAGGGGATATGAGTAATTAAATATGAAGCAAAACATTTGTGCTAACCAATGCAAGGAGCGCGCTAAAGTATTTTCACCTACAAATCGCTCAGTTTTGTAAGCTAGCGGTGTTTTTAGATTCATTTCTGGAGGTAGTCTTGCTGACTAATTTTGGAATAACTGGAATTCAAGTAGTGAGTTTGAACTCAATTAATATAATTTGTACTGCGAACTCAGCCATCCATAGTATACGATCGGAATGATTTGTTTGTAAAAACAGTGAAGTAGAAATATGTATTCAAGCTAAATGAAAAGTACTAATATTTTTTTAGCTAAAAACTTGATTTCAAGGCATGTCTAGCTATAGCCAGTTCGTAGCTTTGAAGGGGTACGCAGTATTATGAAAAATACATTCAATTACAAAACAAAGCGAAAACTGAATGGAATTTAAACAACATTTATTCAAGCTAAATGAAAAGTACTAATTTTTTTTTTTTTAGCTAAAAACTTGATTTCAAGGCATGTCTAGCTATAGCCAGTTCGTAGCTTTGAAGGGGTACGCAGTATTATGAAAAATACATTCAATTACAAAACAAAGCGAATGGAATTTAAACAACATTTAAACTACATCAACAACAGAGATAATAACTCCATTCATGTGTGCACTTAGACTTTGATCTCTGGGTGAATTGACATTCACCTTGTTACTGAATTCATTCAAGCAGCGCTTAAGGTACTTCACGAAGTGATTTAAACAGAATTAAGTTTAGTCACCCCCTCCCCTTGTTATGAAAACAGTCATAACTTTGAGTCGAGAGGGTTTTTTTTATCCGTGACTAATATTAGACAAATAGAAGTTTATATAGAAATTATTGTCTCATTTTTGTCTCTAGCTGAAAGGATACTCTCGAAAAAAGTCAGTCCCTGCTAGATTTTTTCCAGAGTTCCTTTTAGCTAGAGACAAATGATTAATAATTTCTACCCTCCTAGCTGATAAGTAAATTAATTAATAGAAGTAGATAGATGAATCAGTAAGCCGTGTGGGATGGGCTCCGATATAAAATAAAACATGCGTCCACGGTTTCTAGTTGAGCTGGCTCATTTTTTACGCGACTTGAAGTTGTGAAAGGCTTGTATGGCACTCTTCTTCAGTCGTTATATGTAAGGCTCGTAATTTACCTATTACGCATACGAAGTCTCATTTCCATTGTTTTCTTTGGCGTCGATTCAGTAACTTTCATGGCGGCTGGGCTAAGTAAAATCACTCTAATGATAAAAAGGTAAATTATAGAAAACTAGCGCCCGAAACGTCAGTAAGTTTTTTCATCTTTTCACGGTGTATACCTTTTTATCATTACTGTTTCATTAGAAACACCGACGCAGCTCACACTAGATTTTAGCTAGTTATATCTTCTTAAAATCACTATAGTATTTTTTACCATTTACTCTTTAGAGCAATGTCGGGTCCACGGGGGGGGAGGGGAGTTGAAGGGATCCACAGAACCCCCCTTGAAGGTTTGATATTTTAGGTAATAGAAATATGTCTTATATAAATTTTAATAAAAAAATATTAGTAGTTTTGCGTTGGGTCGTGTTATTATAGCTTGGTCCGTTACTAGATAGTAAATTAGGTGATTAGAGCCAAAAATTTTTTGTCAAACATCGACTAAACAAAAGAGAATTATACACAGTTTAAGAAACGGAACCCCCCTTTGAAAAATCATGGATCTGCCACTGTAGAGGTAAATAGGATTGGATGAGCTACTACAAGTTACATCCTACGTGTGAGTAGCGAAAAAAGCCGCGGTTTTGAATTAAAACCAAAACATTAAATCTAAATTTAATTTAAAACTTGTTTGTATCTATATATTTCACCGGCTAGTTGGATTTGACTAATGCAATTAGACTTCTCGCCCACATGGCCTATGATGAGCTATTGTCTACATAATATTCATGCCGCGTATGTGCTGACTGTGTTGTTGCATGGGCAGTAGTGCATCTAGAAATTTGGAGGGGGTCCATATTGATATCACTAAGGATAAAAACATGCAATTTGGTCAATTTGTGACATAACATACGACCTTAAAGATGCTTTACCGAATTGAGTAGATTTTTTTAAACCGAAAAATTATCGAAAAAAAATTAAATGTAGTACACCTTTTGCTGTTCATTAACCGCAAAGGAATATTCATTGAAGTGAAGAAGCATTGTCATTAGAGCGAACAGGCATGCAATAGTGCGATGGAACGTTCATTAAGAAATTTAGCATTGAATTTGACAATCATGAATATGTTTGCGTGGATTCATTAACGTTTTTGAACTTTCATTAGCGTTTTAGTGCAGACAATAAACCACAACACACATTCAAYACAGTGTTTTGGACATTTATTTACGCAATACAATATAAGGGTATTGTGCTTTTACGATTGTAGATTTTCAAAAACAAAAAAGGGAATTTATCATTGAATGTGTTCTCTATTTAAACATCTTGGACGATATGTTTGCATGTGATTGTACCATTGTATGCATTTCTGTGGATCTTCATAGGCACTCAAAAGACGCAAGTCTGACTCATTTGGAATTTGGTTTATTTGTTGAACCATTGCAATATCCAAAAAAGAGGGATTAAAAAACTCAGAACTGACTGATATTTATACCTAACGGCGCTTTATTTGTACGAAATCATATTCACGGCTTGTAAWAAAAAAAATGAAAAGACAGTTAAAATCTTACAATTCCTAGTGGAAAATATACTTATATTGTATTGCGTAAATAAATGTCCAAAACACTGTATTGAATGTGAATTAGATTTTAAAGTTGGAACGTCTAAAAATTTCAATGCCGGTTAATGTTTTACCGCATAAAAGACGAAATATTCAATATATCAAAAATCGCTCAAACCCTTTATCTTTTACTTATTCGCATAGTGAGGTTCTTTTGGCTATACGCGCTAACGCTATTTCCATTAATTCACCTCTACGGAACGTGCCCGATTTGTGTTTAAGGTTCGGCATTGTTTCGAATTAGAAAAACACTTTGAAATAATATTATTTTCAAAATCTTTATCACATGACCTTTAAAACGATATATAGTATTAGGGGGCTTTTGTTTAATGTGTTGCGTAGAGAGAGCTTAAGAGATACATACACCTGAAGGTCTCCAGTAACCTTAAAAAGTGTATGAAGCTAATAGGATGTAAAAATGTTATGTAAGAATGCATAGCGATAGAGCGAACAACATCTGAGGAATAGCTAATTTAATACAAAAAATATATCCCTAGACTATAGCCCTTCTATTTATAATAATAATAATAATAATAATAATAATAATAATAATAATTACTTAGAATGCAGAAAGCGGTATTAAGCTGCACAGTGAACGTTGCAAGAACATTTAAATTAATCACATCTTAAGGACATTTCAAACATTCCAAGTATTTAAACTGCATCTTAAGAACATTAATAATTGGTTTTAAGTGATTGTATATATTATTAATCCTGTCATGCTGGTAGGTTACGAAATTACGCCCTATCTAGCTTACCTAATTAGCATTCAAACGTGTTTACTGCTGATAATAATAATGATAATAGGGCATCCAGACGTTTACACTGCCTCATAATGATAATAATATATTAATTATTGATAATTTATCAAGTATTTTACAAAGTTCAATACTTTAAAATATTCTATTAAGAAATTTAAT